TATTTTATACTCTTCTAATTCTTGAAAATTCCAAAGGGTCTAGATAAAGAATACAATAGGCCTAACACTAATGTTTGATGATTAATTGGAACACGCTTCGCCAGCTTGGAAAAGGCCTTCACACCATAACAATATACAAATATTTATTTTTCAACGCAAGCAACATACTATTGATCGTAAACGTTGCAGAATTTTAGTAAAAAGCTCCTTAAAGGGATATCTGCGCATAGCCGCCCCTTATTTTGAACTGACAAATTATAGGGAAGACAGTTATTCAACACCACCCGTCACAGAATCTTGGGTTACTCTAACCGAAATGTGAGATTTATCAGTCACTCTTACAGCTCATCCATAACCGAGAGTGTTTTGGTAAAAACAAATCGCAAAGTATGAACCCTTAGCTTCGTAGTCCGAACACTATATAAATGACAACGCTCAGCCCCCACTTTCTAATAGACAGAAAGCAGACGTGTACTAACCAAACATTTTATTTTATGTCAATTCGTTATTTTTTTTAAATACAGATATCAATGATATTGAATTGCATTATTTTATTTGCGTAGAATTCAACCTAGTTTTCCGGAAGTACTAACAAAGGTTTTTTGAGTACTACATAGTTTAAAGTGAAAAAAGCAAACTCGTCTAAAATTAAATTTAAAAAAGCTTAAAGCATTCTCGTCAATTCAAATGTCAAAAATACACTGAAGCTACTAATATTCATGATATTATTTTAACACATCATAAGGCCGGTTTGGATTTTACAGACATAATAGTGGTCTATTCGCTATTGATATCATCTATTCGTTTAAAACAACTTTTACTGTGTGAACTAGTTTATGTAAGTTAAATGTAATTACTTAAGTTATATATATTACGATACGGATTAACAATACAATATAATATATATTTTTTGTTTTAATACTAATCGTTTATTATTACTGTTTTTACTTGAATTAACTTTTACTACATTTAGTAGAACTGGCGAAATTTCCTGTTCTCGGAGTGGGTCAAGTAATCACAAGGAAAACTACAATAGTATTTCAAAGAATTTATGAATGAAAACAAAGAGGAATGTGTAAAGGTACGTAAATCGCACATTAACTACCATATCCAGTGGTCTAGGAGCTCTTTATATTATCAGTAGTAAGAACGAGAATTGTATATTGTGAACTAGTTTTTACCAACCAGAACTACGGTAAGGATTAATAACCCAATATTGTTATTGATTATATCGATACTAAATATCACTACAGTCATCCCTGTTTACAATAGAGTCAGTGCTAGTTATCAATTCATAAGGTTCTGGTTTTTGTTTTCTTCCATCCTCGTTCCCGCCGCAGGCGATGCTAGATCCATTATAGTGCACTCCCTCAATTCGCTGTAATTAATCTTATTATACTTAAACTTGCATCTTTTTGTACACAACTCAACATTTTACAACAGAATCCTTACACTTTAAACAAAGTAGATCCTTTTGCTCACCACAATAAACATTATATATTGTAACATCCAAACTGTGCATATCATCCTACGATCAACCTAACTTCTCGTTATAGAGAACCCAGTATCATAGCATGCAGTCAACTTTATAATTCGCTGTAACCAATTACTTATCTTATTTTAGTCAACCTACAGTCATATTACAGATTACCCTGCTTTAAATAACACTATATCTCGCTTAATCACTCCCACATCTTCCTATTAAACAACACTATATCTCGCTTAATCACTCCCACATCTTCCTATGAAACAACACTATATCTCGCTTAATCACTCCCACATCTTCCTATGAAACCGAGATATATAGCTGTTTCATGGGAAGATGTGGGATTGAGTATAGCGAGATATATAGTTGTTTCATGGGAAGATGTGGGATTGGCTAAATTAGGTGTAAAATTATCCGCAAGATGTCTTTGAGTACCTACAAGTCATTTGTTATCTATGACAAATTAAATAGATTACTAAATCGAAGTCAGAGTGAACTGTAGAGACGTCTAGAGATGATTATATAGTAATAAACAAAGTTGATTGAAGTGATTGATAAAGTTGAATGTGAGAAGATGTGGGAGTGATTAAGCGAGATATATAGCTGTTTCATGGGAAGATGTGGGAGTGATTAAGCGAGATATAGTGTTCCTATACTCAATCCCACATCTTCCCATGAAACAGCTATATATCTCACTATACTCAATCCCACATCTTCCCATGAAACAGCTATATATCTCACTATACTCAATCCCACATCTTCCTATGAAACAACTATATATATCTCACTATACTCAATCCCACATCTTCCCATGAAACAACTATATATCTCACTATACTCAATCCCACATCTTCACATGAAACAAGCTATATATCTCACTATACTCAATCCCACATCTTCCTATGAAACAACTATATATCTCGCTATACTCAATACTACATCTTATTACATATCATTAATATCTTTCTTCTTGCTACAGGCAATTATAACACTGGATATAATAACTCTTACCCCTAACTATAGCCATAGCTACATCTCCCTATGAAACAACTATATATCTCGCTATACTCAATCCCACATCTTCCTATGAAACAACTATATATCTCACTATACTCAATACTATATCTTATTACATAT